TAAACCCCCCCCCCCCCCCCTCTATTAAGCCCCTCTCTATGATGCTTGGGAAAAAATAACACTCAGTAGGCTTGATACAGAAATTAAAGTAGTTATTTGATTGAAACTGGTAGCTATTTCAATCCTACTGTATCTCCTTTTATGTATAATTGCCAATATATTCACATAGAATAATAGTTTGGAAATGGAATCAGTGCTTGTATCTTTTTAGCAAATGAGCCTTGTATTGATCCACAATGACTCTTATTGCTATAAACAACATTGTTTCACATAGCAACAGACAAGGAAACATCTGTATTTAAATTCACCACTTCTTTTTTATCCAGACACAAATGTTTCATTAACTGCTACATTGATGCAAGAATTATTTCAGGTTTAGCTTAGTTACAGCCTTACATCATGCTGTCAAGTGGCAATCATTTACAAAGCAGGTCTATAACCAAATGTTTTACAACCTGAGGAACTTCTTAAATTAATTATTCTATGATTTATACAGATGCTACAAAAATCACCTTCCATCTTAAATTTACAGATAACTCCTTTTACAAAAGCACAAAGACCACGGGCTACAACATGTTGACCATATTATCAGGGACGCCGGGGCGATGGTAGCACACAGGGGGCAATGTTGACGTAAGGGCAATCACTAATTAATATTTCGTTTCCAAAAAATGTTTTCTGAACCTTAATTCACCAAAGTGACAAGGGCAAAAAATTTTGAAACTTAACATAATTTTTGACACAGTATTCCAGAAAATTTCACGTATATTTCAATATTACGTCTATTTCACCTGTAATTCATACTTTTGATCGTTGTACCTAATATTTATTGCGTTAGAATTTTTATCTAAGGGCACTTTTGCCGCCTCCCTGCCCCTTACTAAAGGGCAAGGGGGCGATGCCCCTCCTGCGCCCCCTTTCCGGCGTCCCTCCATTTTATTAAAATTGATAAAGCACATATATGTAAATAATATGTCAAGTGAACATGAAACGGAAGATCTAATGTACTATATTGTTTAAAGCTTTAACACAAGCAAAAGCTGTCACTCCAAAGTCCTGGCAACAATATACCAATTTAAGAAAACAACGATAACGTGTGCGATGATTTCATTTAGCCAATTCTTCCATGGTTATCATGGAATTTAAAATACGAAACTTGTACGCCGTCGTTTCCACATACAATATACTCATACTGTAGATCGATAAAAAGTCATTCATAAATACCATGCCACTTTGTAAGTTATATACCCAACATCCCAATACTTGTTAATACGATTAATATTATTATACCCTTCGATTTATATTGTTTGATTTCGCATTCCAAATCTGATGAACATTGATAATTCTCTCTTCGCGTATGTCCACGCGTAATACTCGCAAAAAAACACGCATTAACGTGTCGGCAACATTGATGATCGCGGCAGCCAATCATTTCGATTCGATTTCCCCAGAGTCATGCCATTACATAATCCGCGTACAGGCATAATCTGGGAACGAGATTGGCGCTCGAGCGACTGGTTCCAAGAGTATGCATTTTGAGATATGGCATATAGTAAAAATGCTATTGCAAAACTCGTAAATTTTAAGATTTTGATCGCAATTTACAAAAAAATTGCAGGGTTTATCGACAAGAACTTTTTAGAATTGGATTCAGCGTGTTTAAATCTATAAGAATATGTAAGTATTTTTTGGCTTAGCAAGGTGTACAGTGAAAATTGGTTTCTAGCCATATATTAGCTCACGGCCTATCATGCAATTTTTTTCGCAAAGGCCCGAGCATAGGCCCCGAGTTGAGTCCGATGAGGATACGACTGTTGACGAAGCGGCCATGCTGTTACGCGACCGGCCGAGCACAAACAATGAAACAAACATCCTAAATTTTAAAACAATCTATATTTCTGGATTTCTGGTGTGCGTATCCCTCTAAATTTATTTTTATGAAGGGTACCCCAACTGCCATGGCCCTTGGTTCACGGATGGTAAACTTACTTTCACGATCCGTAACCTTATCTTACCAACGGTACCACTGGTACCATTCGACATCCTTTTGAAGGGTACCCCAACTGCCATGGCCCTTGGTTCCCGGAGGTAAACTTACTTTCACGATCCGTAACCATATCTTACCAAAGATACCACTGCTACCATTTGACATGATTTTGAAGGGTACCCCAACTGCCATGGCCCTAATGGTTCACGGATGGTAAACTTACTTTCACGATCCGTAACCCTATCTTACCAACGGTACCACTGGCACCATTCGACATCCTTTTGAAGGGTACCCCAACTGCCATGGCCCTTGGTTTACGGATGGTAAACTTACTTTCACGATCCGTTACCCTGTCTTACCAACGGTACCACTGGTACGGATGCACTGTACAATGGATACAAATTGACAACAATACCGATGGCAAATGCTGGATTTATGAAATTTACCATCCGCAACGTATCGTGGTATTGGACCATGTTCCACGCAGTTCATGGTCCACTATAGTACGATTGTACTTGTTTAATTATACGCAACGATCGTATCAGTTTTTAAGCAATTATAAAGCAAACAATACATCAATATTAAAAACAAACTTACCTTCATTGACGTCGGCGTCTTTGCTCCCTTCTTTTAGCTTTTTTTTCTCAAAAAGGTTTTGAAATTTGCAAATTCTTGCAAAAATGAAATATACTTGCAAGAAATGTTTGTTATTTCGCTGTAGTCATGCAGTCGTTATTATGCAAATTTCAAACTTGACCAATCCTTGATCGCTATTCACGACAGTCCGCCACATATTTTGAGATCAGTGAGAACCATAGATATGGGGTTGGGGTGGTTTTATATGTCCGTGATAACATATCATTCACGGAAAGGAAAGATCTAACTTCGAAAGATCTTGAGATGGTATGTATTGAAATTAATAGGCCATACAACAAATCACTTTTAATTGACCATTTGCGTAATAGACTAAATTTTGAACTAAACAAGTCTAGACAAAAATTTCATCACAGCTTGAAGGAGCATCACAAAATTAGTAATATTCCAAAGTTTCGTTGCAAAATGTTGTAAAATGCGGAAAATATAG